AGATGGAGAGAGAGCACAAGTAGAGAGAAGGGTCAGGCAGGGGGAGAGGGAGCAGCACATTGCCCGCGGAGCAGGGAGCCCAATGCAGAGCTGAATCCTGGGACCCTGGGATCATGACTGGAGCCAAAAGGAGCTGCATAACCACCTGAGCCACCCAGGTGACCCTGTTCTTACATTCTATACACTAGTAAGCATTCTATCTAGTATGAATATTATTTTTAGTGAGGACCGAGTGCCTGTAAAGGCCTAACAACAATCTTTTTTTAAAAAAAAGATTTTATTTATTTATTTGACAGACAGATCACAAGTAGGCAGAGAGGCAGGCAGAGAGAAAGGGGGAAGCAGGCTCCCTGTTGAGCAGAGAGCCCGATCTGGGGCTCAGTCCCAGGACCCTGAGATCATGAACTGAGCCGAAGGCAGAGGCTTAACCCACTGAGCAGAGGCTTAACCCACTGAGCCACCCAGGCGCCCGGCCTAACAACATTCTTGACGCTGGTAAGGTTTCTCTCCAGGATGAACTCTCTGATGCTCAGTAACACGTGACCACATTCACGACATTTGCCAGGTTTCTCTCCAGTAGGAATTCTGTAATGTTGAGTAAGGCCTGAGCTGTGGTTAAAGGTCTTGCCACAGTCTTGATATTGGTAAGATATCTTTCCATTATGAATTCTCTGATGCTGACTAAGCCTTGAGCACCAGTTAGAGGCCTTGCCACATTTTTGGAATTTATAGGGTTACGCTCTGGTATGAGCTCTGCTATGTCGACTGAGGTGTGAGTTCACCTTGAAGGCCTTGCCACTTTCCTGACATTGGTAAGGATCCTCTCCAGTATGAGTTCTGTAATGCTCATTAAGAGGTGAGCTGTCCCTAAAGGGCTTGCCACATTCTTCACATTGGTAACATTATTCTCCACAATGAGTTCTGTAATGCTGAGTAAGACCTGACCTCCAGGTAAAGGCCTTGCCACATTCCCGACATTGGTAAGGTTTCTCTCCAGTATGAGTTCTGTGATGTTGAATAAGGTATGAACTCCGTTTAAAGCTCTTGCCACATTCATGACATTGGTAAGGTCTCTCTCCACTATGAATTATGTGATGTCGTATAAGGGCTGAGCTGTAGATAAAGGCCATGCCACATTCTTGACATTGGTAAGGTTTCTCCACACTATGAATTCTGTGATGTTTAGTAAGTTGTGAAGGGACGGCATAGGCCTTACCACATTCTTGACATTGGTAAGGTTTCTCTCCAGTATGAGTTCTATGATGCTGAGTAAGGGATGACTTGTAACAAAAGGCCTTGCCACATTTTTGACATTGATAAGGTTTCTCTCCAGTATGAATTCTGTGATGTTTAATAAGGGATGACCTCCGGTTAAAGGACTTGCCACATTTTTGACATTGGTAAGGTTTTTCTCCAGTATGAGATCTGTAATGTTGAATAAGGGATGACTTCCAATTAAAGCTTTTGCCACATTTTTGACATCGGTAAGGTTTCTGTCCAGTATGAGTTCTGTAATGTTCAATAAGAGTTGTACTATCCTTAAAGGGCTTGCCACATTCTTCACATTGGTAAGGATTTTCTCCACAATGAATTCTTTTATGCTCAGCAAGACCTGACCTCCAGTTAAAGGCCTTGCCACATTCTTGGCATTGGTAAGGTTTCTTTCCATTATGAATATTGTGATGCTGATAAAGATGTGACCTCCACTTAAAGGCCTTGCCACATTCTTGACATTGGTAAGTTTTCTCTGCAGTATGAATTTTGTGATGCCGAGAAAGATTTGACCTCCAGGTAAAGGCCTTGCCACATTCCTGACATTGGTAAGGTTTCTTTCCAGTATGAATTCTATGATGTTGAGAAACGTGTGAAAGGCGTTTAAAGGCCTTGCCACATTTTTGACATTGGTAAGGTTTCTCTCCAGTATGAATTCTCTGATGTTGAATAAGTTTTGAGCATGATGTAAAGGCTTTGGCACATTCATTACACTTGTAATTTTTCCCTGCAATATGAATTTGGTGCTGTCTATTAAGACTTGAGTGATCATTAAAAGTCTTGCCACATTCTTGACGTTTGCAGGGTTTCTCTCCAGAATAGATCTGCGAATGTCCATTTATTGATGAACAGTCCTTAAAGCTTTGATTGCCTTCTTCACATTTGTATACTTTTTCTCCAGTATGCATTTGCTGATGTTGAGATAGTGTTGAGTGGCAGTCGAAGGATTTACCACATTCCTTAAAAATGTAAGTTTCCTTTCCCCAAGGGATTACCTCATTGATGTTTAGGCTTGATGACTGACTAAACATGGTCTCTGGTTTATTACATGTGAATGGGCTTTTTCCCTCATGAATTCTCTGATGATCACCAACACTGGAGGACTGGTTACGAGCTTTCCCACATTCATTATATTTATGAGGACTGTCTCCCAAATGGTGACCATTATGTATAGTGAGGTTAGAGCTTGGATGAAAGCCTTCCCCACATTTATCACATTCATAATGGTTCTCTGCAAACCTAGCCCTGACACATCTGTGAACCCTAGAGCCCTGGTTCAATGTTTTTTCAGATTCAGTGCATTGAGCAATTTTGTCTCTAGTGGAAACCCTCTGGTCATACTGTCGGGTCAACTCTTCAGTGAAGTCCCTCTCATATGGATCCAACTGAAGACTTTGTTCTTCATTTCTAAATTTCTGATTTAAGGTCAGGCCAATCCTATCTTCCAAATGGCTCAAATCATTATTTTCAGCAGGGACTACATTACTTTCCAGATGTTCCAAATGGTCTGTCCACAAATCGTTATGGTTGAATATCTGATTGGAGCTTGTGCTGACAGAGACCCACTGCTCTGCAGAAACAGTTGACTTAAAAAGGGAGGTTTTCTGCAGCGGTTTATGTCCTTCACCATTTGGGGCAGTGAGATTCTCATTAAGGGCAATTACCTTGGTTTGGGTGTATCGTCCAGGATTTCTTTGAGGTCCTTCACTCTCCCCATCATTGTCCCAGTCTGTGCATAAGTGTAATATCTCAACAGCACTATCTTTGTATCTGTGCCGTGTCCAGCTCTGGAAAGAACCTTCTATGCTCTGCTGTAGCAGGAAACTCGGGGTCTCATGTGTAGACAGAGCTGAAAGATACCAAATAAAAGTAAAACCATTGCACTTACTACATTCAGAAGAATATACTGATGACCTCTAATGCAGAAGCATAAAGTCAATCAGAAAATATCAGTATGATGGATGACAAGGAGTCATCAGGATCTCATTTCCCCATGGATACGCAACATGGTACACAACATATTGACCATATATCCTAATAGATAATTCTATGATATGGTCACAGTGTAGCAGAAATCACTTTCCTGTATCTCTAACAATTACAAAAAGGATTATATGAGCTAAAACTTAGCAGAATACCGGAGGATATGGAAACAGAAAACTGAACTGAATCAAACAGAGTACAGTAAAAGTATAACTGACTATAGGAAGAAAATTATAAGAGGCAAGAATATTTGAGGGGAATCACAAGATTTTGGGTGAGAGCCATAGAGGGAGGAAATCACATGCAGGCATTACACTGTATATACAGTTTTACTTGAGCCTGCATCCCAGGACCCTGAGATCAAGATCTGAGCAGAAATCAAGACTCGGTACTTACCCAAATGAACCACCAAGCACCCAATTATTTTTTAACTCTTATCTTTGTGGTAAAGTTCTCACTACTGTTTTCTCACTCCTTGAGTATCCTTATGATTGCAACCTTAAATTCTCTATCAAGTTCCTTACTACTGTTTACATTGTATATCTGCCCTTGGTCTTATAAATTCTTTCATCTTGGTATCTGTCTAACTCTCTACTTTCCTCTGTCCATTAGAAAAGTCAGTGATGTGTCCTGTTGTATCCTTCAGACCAGTGGTCTGCAGGGTCTCTCCTTGCCTGCTACGGGCAGTGTTTGGTCCCTGGCCTGAATGTGGCCAGTTTGAACTAGATGAGCTCTGTTCTGCTTATGAAAGGAGACCTCACATCAAGTCCACCAGAACTGTGGTCCTGCAGAACTCTCTGCTCAGGAGACGTGATGTGGGGAGGGGTTCACCTTGCTGAGGCTGAGGAAAGCCTCACTGAGAAGGGAAGTCCCCTCAGATCACAGGAGGTGAGGCCTGGCGCAAGCAAGGCAGACAGCCAGTGTCCTCACTGAGTGGGGCTCAGTCTTTATGCTACAGGACAGGAGAGGGCTCCCATGTTTTGGAAGCCACATGTCACTGAAAGTTTCCTCTCAGGAATGTGCTCCTAGACTACTGAATACTCTCCCCACTGTGTGCCCCAGGTGTTCTCCAGATGACTGTTTCCATGCTCTCTGACCCCAGGTTGTTTGCCAGCATTCTCTGCAGGAGCACCCCAGTGCCCTCCTGGTTCTATCCCATCCAAACCTGCTGACCATTAAAACTCCAGGCTTTCAGATGTGCTGGTTCCAAGAACTCATGAAATTCAGCCCTTCTCCCTCTCCAAGCTAATGGCTTTGGGAAACCTCCTTAGGTATCCCCTGAGTGGTCCACTGTCATGACACCTACTGCACAACCGGGCCTCCCTGCCTGCCACAGTGGAATACTCCTTTCCTCCCTAAACCACGTCTCCACACCATCTGCCATCTTCCATGTGGCCTCTTCTCTCCTCTTACTTGGAGAGTTTCTCCTGTCACTCTTCAGTCCAAAGTCTGGGGCATTTAGGATGACCTGACAGTTACCTAGTGGTGCTCATGACAGGACACATGAGTCTAGGACCCTCCTACGCCACTGCCATTTCTTCTCCTGGGAATGCTTATTGTTTTAATCCTGTTAAAACTCATATGGATTTTATAAAGCTGGTACACAAACCAACACATAAAAATTAGTTTTGTTTGTACACAACGAAGAACAATTCCTAAAACAGAGACATCATACATTTACAGCAAACCCCCGCACCCCCCCCAACCCAATAAATGCTTCCAATTTAACATAAGGGTAGATATCAAACCAGAATCGATGAAAAGTACAATATACTGTGCAGGAATCAAAGAATGAATAAGTAGGAAACCTAGCTATGTTCTTTCACTGGAATAATTGAAACACAATAAATCCTGAAGGGATCTACAGAAAATGAAATCTCTACCAAAACTCCAATGCCATTTGTGCACAAAGATCAAAATTCATCCTCTTGTTATGTGGATGTCAAGGGATAACCTATACCCAAAATAATCTGGGAAATGAAGAGCATATACCCTGATTTAAGGCATACAACAAGGTACAGTATTCAGAGTAATGTCCTACAGACATGATGTCAGGAGTAGAATAATGGAAGAGTCTGGTTGAGCTAGATGTGCACGTCTCCAATGTTAATGTGTATGACAATGAACTGAAGATCCTGTTAAAATTCATACTCTGAGTTGGATGTTTGGGTAGCATCTGAATTTCTACTTTTCACAAATGTATCACCTGATCGACAATGCATGTTCTACCCAAAATTCCAGGACTGAATCACGATAGTTTCAAAGGTTCCTAAAAAGGGGGCAGAGCATACAGGTGAGTATGGAGTCCTTTGCTTCCCTGCATGCTTCATTCAAGCCAACCCTACTCCTGCATAACAAACTTAACCCACTCTTCTCTGCACCTCCCCTTATTTTTCTTTCTTCAATTTTCCATGCCACCATACTCATGGAAACAGCTCCCTCCTTCACAAGAAATGCAGGTGCAATCTGCTTCTGTGTACAACGCTGGATTTTGTAGCTTGGATCCCACTGAATCCATGGCCTTTATCAATTTCAAGTTTCCCCTGCATTTTTACTAATACCCATGGCTTCAGGCCACAGGATCGCTTCTTTGAAACTAGGCTTCCTTCTGAAAGCTGACTTTGCCTAAAATGAGCAGTTCTACAAACTGGTTACACTTTCTGGTCTTCCCTGAGGAATCCACCTCCTTCCTGATGCTCCTAAGTGGTGAGAAGAGGGAGACCAAATTCAAGGAAATGGAGTTAAGAAGCTCTCACAGGAATAACTGTTCTTCCATGTACCCCCTGGGCTGATCTTTCTGGGGTGCCTGTGAGGACCACAGGTTCTTCTTGGTCTTCCAGTTCCCTTCTTTGCTCTGCTGGGCACATGCTTCTCTTTCCCTGTCCCTTCCCTTCTACACTGAGGAATGTTTATCTCCACTGTGATACCGATCAGTTTGCTTTCCTAGGACTTTATCCTACTGTGAGTACTTAGGATTAGCTTCTTTGGAAGAGTAGGTTTAGTTTTCTTTACTTGCAAATTCTTAAGACACTACTTTAATCTACACATGTATATCCTTCTTGATATCCATCTTGATTTCCTTTCTATTAATATATACTCTACAATGTCCCATTTCATTAGGTGTACAACATGCGGACTCAACAACTCTATAGGTGCTACTATACTCACCAATAGTAGCTAATATCTGGCACCATAAAATGCTACGGGAAAACCACTGGAGGAGTTCCCTGTATTCTTTTCACTCCACGGAAGCCTGTGCTTCCCATTCCCACTTCCTCATGTTGCCCATCATCCTTCTCCATTCCACACTGGTTAATTTCAGGCTATTCATTGTATTTGTGTCTCTTTCAGCTTTTTTCATTGTCTTGTCCTTTGTGATAATGTGGTTTGACCCAGAAGGAGTTATGCGATGTGAACTAAGTGACATAAAATATTATACATATTCACTTATGTGTACAACCAAAACAACAACTTAAATGAACAAACAAGAAACAGACCTATGAATGTCTATTTTGTTTTGAATAAAGTTCCTGGATAAATTTAACAAATATAAAAATTCCAAGATGACACGCATTCTATACTGTAACCCGTTGGTCTGTAACAGTGTTCCAATACTGGCAGAAGACAAGAGGTTCCCAGGTCAAAGGTCAAGTGCCTTATGGCTCATGACATAGCAAACATCATAAACATCTTCATCACACTAATTCTACGGGCCCGCTGCCCACTCCCAACTCATACAGGAAGACACTGCACATGCGTTGAGTTTGTGTGGACACTCTGAACATAGGAAACCCCAGTATCTTCAAGGAACATCTAGCGTATATGCCCGATCCTTGGCCATGAAAACAGACCATCTGTTTTCCTGTACAATAAACTCACCTGTCCTCGACCCAAGATCAAGATGCTATCACTATACTACCAAGCATTTTTATACACAAATATGAGTGGAATGACCATTATAACTAAAATGTCAATCAAGGAAATGCTCACGCAGATCATGAGGTCACCACATGACTTCAAGGAAGAGTGACAATACTGTATAAGGCACATGTGTGATTTGGCTCAGATATCCACCACAGTACAGATACATTTCCCTTCATGATCTTTTGCTGCTCATCTGGCACTGCTATACAGTCACATGCAGGGTAGATCTGAAAGTCAATGTACCTGGAAGGTTTGACTTTAAGATCTTCCAACCATCGGCCATAGGGCCAACTGCAAAGGCCTGGAAGATACTCAAGATGCACACCATACCACCAAAGACACATCCCTGGCCACTCTGTGAACCTAACAATGTAGCATTCATCCAAAGTCATGGTAGAAATCTTTCACCCAAAAGCTGTCAGTGTGGGTGGGAGTCCATTACAGACAATGTCCCCTGATTGCCTATTCTCCTGTGTAGATGAACCAACCTGTCTAAGGGGAATTGTCAGCACCTGTGACTGACTTGGGTGTCCAGCCAATGTTTTGAATTAGAACATTCTATGTTCTCTGTCTGGGTAGCTATGCACGTTCTAAGTCACTTCTCATGGCTGATGCTAGCCTCCATTCCTGTACCACTAGAAGCCTGAAGAAAGACCCTAGACAACCTCAGAGCCTCTCTTACTTCTGGGGAGCCTCTCTTACTTCTGGGATTCTGGGGAGAAAATGAACCCAGCAGCACGGATCAAGCACTGAGCATAACCTCTTGCTCTGTGTGAGCAGGAAGACTCATCAGGGAACCTGGGCAGCCACAGAGCCCAGCCTATAGTCCTGCCCAGCAACAGAAAACAGCCTTCAGTCCTGCCGCATGTTCAGCATCACCTCTGGCCCTGGCTGATCACAGAGTTCCCAGCATAGGTTTTGGAGGAACTCAGGAGTCTACACGTGTCCATGGAGAGATGTCTAGCCCTCTGTGCTCAAACAGAATAAGTTTATATCCAAAATGATCGTGCATGGTTTATACCAGAAGCTTCAGAGGTCCATGGGATACCTCTAGAAGGAATGCCAAACAGTTGGCTACATTCAGATGATAGAGAATAAAACCACTCATACTTGCCTTCCTGCCATTTCAGATACAACAGTGAGCAATTCCACAGGATCCCAATAAAAATTGGCATCAGACAGATACTTCCATGTTTCAAATGCACACAGGGTATTTTTTCTTTTTACAAGGTGCACTATTCAGAGAGGATTCAGTATGAAACATGACTTCTGGGCTACTTTTTAATGATTAAAAAGAAAATCCAAAATATTCACTAGCATCTGACACCATCCTCTGCATACTGCAAACAACATATGTCCCACGGTTACTGAATCTGCTCTTAATGTATTCAATGCTCTGGATCCTATGGGTTAGGGCTAGTACTATTCTCCTTGTACTGAAAGAAATTATTTTTTCATTTATTGATTTTGAAAGAAATGATGTAGATGAAGAAAGGTATAGTGAGCCTCTCACTATTGGCAGAGTCAGGGTTTGAATCTGGCTGACCTACGTAGGAACATGAGGCACACAGGACAAAGCAGAAGGAGGCCCTTCTAGAAGGTGACACGGGTTTGGATTCTATTTCCTCCTTGATACGCAATGATTCACCTAGCTGTCTACACACAGAACAGCTTTCCTGAATGGACACTTCAAAGTCAACATTCCAGCCCACACTACACATGTGTCACATGAGTGGTTTCCTGGTTGACTCCTCCATACTAGAAACAAAGCTCAGGCATCCAAGGTACAATACAGGAAAGGCCCAACACACAGAGGAGTCTGGGTTCACACCTGGAGAACCAAAACGACACACCTGAGTATCTCACTACATTACTCAAGGACTACTACCTTTCCTGAGGAATGCGACTATGAATGTGTCCCCAGATGTAGGACAGCTACCCCAAATGTTGGGAAGGCTGTTTGAAGCAGAAATCGTCACTGTTTGTAACTGGTGACTGACTTCTCAATGAATCAGTGCCTTGCACATGGATCAGAGCACAGGATAGATTCACGGCAGGGCTGTGGAAGTGAGGGAGAGACCGGCCAACCACAGGTCATCATGCTTGCAAGGTCACCCATCCACCCTGGATCAGACCTATGCAGGGTTATATTCCTGGGATACCAATGCTTTGTGGAACCGCAACACACATCTGGCTGGTTCTCACTCTAAGTGTCCGGCAGCCTTCTCTGTCTTCAACATCTACTCTGTCATGTGACATCTTTAAGCTATGCTCACCATGTTTAAATCAATTAATACCCCCTCTCCACACACTCCATGCATCTGGGCCTCAGAGAGTGCAATTATCTCTGGCATCCAATAGCAACTGGTCCTCAAGACCAGCAGGGAATACATTACTTCATGAGAAAAGCATTGGACGTCCCAGACAGCCACATTTCCCAGGAATGCATCTCTGTCCCATTAGCTCATCACGAGTAGCTTCCTAAGGCCTTGCAGTGACCAAAGGGACATCTATACCAGATCTTTGATAACATTTAAAGAGTTTGCCATATTTCATTTCCATAGCACTTACCTTCCTCTCAAACTGTTGCACCATCATGTTTTATCTGTCTTCACAATTTCCAGTGCCAAGTGCCTAAACTAATCCTGTGGCCTAGTGATGGTTTTTTGCTTTTCTTCCAGTGCAGTGGTGACAACATTGTATTTAAAACAGACATACAGCCTCACGTGATCCTGTTATCAACCATTTACAGTGGCATTAAAAAACTCCAAGCTACTCCTAAGGCTAGGCAAGGGCCTGCGTGGCTTAGGTGGTAGGGGGAGTGCAGTGACAACAAGGTTTCCAGAACACAGGAGGGAAAGTCAGCTGTGATGCCTCTACCCCTGAAATAGAGATGAGACAGAAGAAGAGGACAGGATTTGGGAAGAAAGGAAGTACAATTTTTCTTTCTAGATTCAGAGTCAGTAGTGTAGCCTTGGATAGGGGTCCTCTCCCCAGATGAAGAATCCAGGCCAATGTTACAGCCTAGATCTGTTTCATCTCTTCTGTTGGGCTACTCCATCACTCCTAATAGAACACTGTGTCCTGTTTAAGTTAGAACAACTACTCAGCACCCAGGCCTGTCCCATCTTTGTTTCCTTCAAGTAAGTGTTAAAAAACAAAAGCAGAAACAAGTATGAAGATTCATGAACTCTCCACAATTTTACCTAATCAAATGCTGACACTGAAGTGACCAACATGGATGACGTCACTTCCTAGAAGGGAAAAGAGTAAGTAAGGAACTCTTAATTCTCCAATCGCAAAGGAAGGACTGAAGTCTCAATTTAAGTACGTGGAATTTATAATGCCCCCTGGAGAATTACTCTCACATTTAAATTAAATTTTGAAAACCATGTCATTCCATGGAAATTCTTGTTAAAATCTCTATCAAGGTATGTAAGCAACAGGTCGACACAGGAATAAGGAAAACAGAGTAGATCCTATAGGATTAAAACCCAGTTATGTAAGAGACAATTCACATGGGGAGATTCTCAAACTAAGATACACCAGATGTAGGAAGCATAAATTCAATACAATACAGAGAAGAAAACTATTTCTATTATGAATCTAGAATTTCTTTGCTTGCTAGGAAGTCATCACTTTTCAAACTTGGAAATGACCTGGTTTGAACCAAGATTCACTTTCCTTCTGAAGATACAGGTACACACACATATGTATGTACACGTGCTTCTTCCTAGTTAGATCTGGGACTGCAAAATCTGTCTTTAGCTTAGTATGACACATTGCATTCTTTGCAGATCAAAACCCCAATTCTCTGCTTGTGTTCTCTATGCTCACAGAACAACAGGAGAAACATACAGGATAAAATTTGATTGATAGTCCTTGGGAATTATGTAGCTATGGCTTATCATTATATGTGTAGTGACTTTGTTCAATTACCAATCGTTAGGTAGACCCCTGGGCATTAGATGGTGAGCCATGGTTCAGGACAAGAGAAACAAACTAACATTTACCAAAAACATTCCTGACAATCCTTATCAAATCTTAGCAATAAAAAAAATCTTATAATTTTGAAATAGAGAAATACACTCAAAACCATTCTGTGAGGTCAGCAGTACCCTGATATCACAGCAGTATAAACAAAAGGTAAAAGGCTAGTTTATCTGATGAAACTTCTGCTACCCTGGCTTTCTTTGGACACCCATCTACATGTACAAAATAGAGTCAAAAGAAAAAACGAATCACACTGAAAATAATTGTCCCTCTCTAGAGATCCATCTGACCCAGAATCCTTTCAGGTCTGCTAACAAACACAGTTAACCATCGAATAATGTGCTTTCCACCAATAACAGTCCACTTAGACACAGAGAAGTTTGCTTGATAAATCCAGTGCACTACAGTAAATGTCTTTTCATTATGATTGCCTTCATATTTTATTTCTTCAAATTACTTCCTTATAAAACCATGGTATGTACAACAGACCACATACAAAGAATGGGATGACTCATGACATGTAGTAATTAACCCACCAACACCACAGATGAAGAGAGACCTTTGAAACACAATGACAGGGGCACCTGGGTGGCTCAAAGGGTTAAGCCCCTGCCTTCAGCTTAGGTCATGATCTCAGGGTCCTGGGATTGAGCCCCAGATCCAGCTCTCTGCTCAGCAGGGAGCCTGCTTCTCCCTCTCTACCTGCCTCTTCACCTACTTGTGACCTCTCTCTGTCAAATATATAAATAAATGAATAAACAAACAAATCTAAAAAGAAACACAATGGCAAATCCACTTCATCTTGTGCAAGAGCTCCTAGAAAATCACTAGGAGAATTCTCAGCAGTCCAAACAGCAATGGGGCCTGGCATAACATACTCAGGTACTCAAAGATTGAAAAATAGCCACCAACAATACTTTACCTAGCAAAATTCTTTTCCACAGAGCAGAAACAAAGACATTCCCAAGTAAAAACCCCTCTAAGCTTACCAGTAGATCTGTCCTACAAGAACCATTAAAGGAAGTCTTTCTAGATGAAATAAAAGGATTCTACCCAGAAACTACAACCACACAAGAACACAGAGCTCTCTGCTGAACATAAATATGTAGACAATTATACAAACCTGCTCTGTGTTGCAGTGAGATACCAGTCACATTTATTTCTGCTACAGAGTTTTGTTTTGGAAAAAAGAAAAAAAAGAATAAAAATCACAAATGTGGGTAATAAAGAATCCAACATAAAAGAATTTGTGATGTTGTTAACAAAGTCGGGAGTGTGTGCAGGGGTGGAGACAGGAAGAAGAGTTTTCTATATAATTGACACTGAGTTTTAAAAGGTTTGTTTTAGGGGCCCCTGGGTGGCTCAGTCAGTTTGAGACTCTGCCTTGGGTTCAGTTTAGGATCTCAGGGTCCTGGGATGGAGACCCACCCCGGGCTCTCTGCTCAGCAGGGAGCCTGCTACCCCCTGGCTCCCTGCCTACCTCTCTGCCTACCTGTGATCTCTCTCTCTGTCAAAGAGATAAATAAAATCTTTAAAAAATAAAAACAAAATTAAAAGGTTCATTTTACAGCTAAGTTGTTTTAATGAATCTCTAAGGTAACCACAATGAAAATACTCATAGAAGATGCATAACTCAATGACAAAGGTACCAAGACATATCATGAGTATTAATCCTACAATTAATTAAAGTATATCTTTTATATTTCATACCAAAACAGAAGTATATACAGAAGTATAAAATGTTTGAAAATTATTAAGAATTCAAAAAAATCTTTCTCTCATGCAGAGAATAATCATTCACCCACACATACATGATGAAATTAATTCTATGTGGATGACAACTCTCCTAGACATGGTACAACATTCACTGACCACTCACCAAGGAGACAAAAAGTAGGGGGGACACAGTATGTATGTGCGACATACAAACACAAGACAAAAACACATAATTTACCAGCAAAAAGCAAAAAGCTCATTCTTTTTTGAGTTATTCTCACATGGTCTTGAAATATGCTGAAATACACTGAGCTGAAAATTCTCTTCCTGTTAACAACAACCTGCACAGATAAAACCCAACCCACATCTAGCTGATGTCGAGGAATGAGCCAGAAAAGGAAGCACATGCTTAGGAAATTACCAAACCAGAATAAGAGAAAACTCAACCCATGAAATTCTAAATAAAACTCTGATGTATGATAGAAAAGGAAAACTTCTATATTACCGTAATTCTGAACTGTGTCCACATACCCATGAAAAACAAGCAATTGATTGGCATGTCTCATGGACTCTAATATCGTAAAGAATTCTCATTAAAATTAATCATAAAGAGCTGTAAATGAAAATTTTATAACACTTAAAAAGCTTGAAAGACGTGTATTATGGTATTAAAATATTCGTTCTCCTCCACAGAATGTAACCCTATAGTCCATTCCATTATGACAGAGGAAACAAGCAACATCTTCCTTTCTGAATAAATAAACATCATAGATGTTGAAAATATGCTGAGAGACACTGTATATGAAATTAATATTTGGGGTTAAATTCTGATGCATTCTGAGGAAAGTAGAAGAAAAAGCTCATGATTAATTTCCCTGAAGCAACACTGCATTACTGAACACAAGGATTTTTCAAACATGGAGGTTTAGGGTACCTGGGGGCTAGTTAAGCATCTTCCTTCCGTTCAGGTCATGATCTCAGGGTTCTGGGATCCAGCCCCACACTGGGCTCCCCGCTCAGCAGGGACTTGGCATCTCCCTCTCCTTTTGCCCTTCCCCTCCGTACTCATTTTCTTTCTCTCTCTCTCTGTCTCGAACAAATAAAAATTTTAAACAAACTATATGGGAATATTATTAATTGTCTAACTCACTTCTTACAAAGCACATGCCCATGTCGTATCAGGACATTTGATGTAAAAGTATTCAAAGATAAATCTCATATAAAACTAACTAGAAAGTGAAAACACCCATGACAAAGTCACAAGAAGTTCATAGAAGAATCATACAATGATGCAATTATTAAAAAATAAGGTAATAAATGACAATTTATTATAGGCTACAAGTTCAAGTTCTAAATGTGCTATCTCCCCAAGAGCATTTGTTATGGCAGAATTCTAGTAAAGAAATAGAGACATTACAGTATTTCACCACAGAAGAATGGATCTCATAGAAAAGAAATTTCTATATGGAAAAAAAAAGAAAAAAGAAAAAAGAAAAAAAGAAAGAAAGGAAAAAAGAAAGAAAAAGAAAATAAAAAAGACCACTTGAAGGGAAATAAAGCAGTACATTTTCTCATTTTAGGGCAGTGCTTTGTTATCTGATGAAGTTATTGAAACTCAATTTTGTAAGACTAAGATTAATGCCTCCGTAACATTAGAAAGCATAAGCCAGAGAACATTAAAAATCTATCTCCAATGTTCTGGGCATTTCCCCAACAAATCCTTGTGTGCATACTACTCTGACCTACTTGTTCCATAATGAAAACCAGAACTGACAAAGGCCATAGCGTACAGGTCCTCAGAAATAGGATGCCTTCCCCAGGGCCCTCACAGCAACAGAAAGCTCTCAGATTGGGGGGCAGGGGCCCTCCCCCTCCAAGGAGAGTCTCCTGCCTTTCCTATGGATGTGATGGACCATCACTGCACCTGAAGGAGAATCCCCAGAGAATGCAAGAGCTTCATAATGTTGGAGAGCAGACGTTCCTCTTGGAAAGAGAGAGACATAAAACTAGGCAAGTCTCCAACGGATTTTCATTCAAGGAGAAGTACGCAAACCACTGCTTAAGGTCTACCTTCCTCCTTCTGACTTGGACCTCCCCTCTGTCATCTGCCTCATTCATTCCCACCTACCTGGATAGAAGCCTCCCGTCTCCCTTCTCTTCACATCCCAGAGCTGCTTCTCTTGCTCCAAATATATAATCAGGTCTGGCTTTGACAGAAGGAGACCTGTTTATGAGGAAAAAGGAAAATGGCTATTGCTGACAATTCTAACTTTCCATGAGTCTTGTGTTCAGGAGAGAAGAGATGATATTGTACAATCCTAGAAAATGGTTTCCCAAAAGGGTTCCCCAACAGTCCCTTCAGAACATACAGGAGGTGGGGCATCTGGGTGGCTCAGGGGGATAGGCCTCAGCCTTTGGGTTAGATCATCATCTCAGGGTCCTGGGATTGAGCCCCACATTAGGCTCTCTGCTTGGCGGGGAGCCTGATTCCCCTTTTCTCTCTGTCTGCCTCTCTGCCTAATTATCATTTTTCTCTGTCAAATAGGTAAATACAGTCTTCAAAAACAAAACAAAACAAAAAAACCCAAAACACTCAGTAGGAATTTCCAATGTTCAAATCCTGACCTACACTTCCAAGTAGTAGACATGATAATAAGAAGGGGAAATTTCAGTTTAAGATGTGAGCAGCACCATTTATGTCACTAAAGGTTGAGAACTGCCACTCATTTACACTAGCAACTGTGTTTCCTTGAGGAAGGAGAAGCTAAGGCTGAGAAGAAAACACCATGAAGATTTTTCTCTCCACCTACAAAGCCCTACTTATTTCCCTTTCTGCCTGGATCTGAATTCTAGCCATTCCAAGAGAAATGTCAGAAAAGTGAGTCTTCACAGGAAGGAATAAAATCCTGAGTGGGGTTTGGGAAATCTGGAAGGAGTCTTCCTCACCCAAGAAGAGGAGGTGTTCATAGTTCTCCAACATCACATCCAGGTACAGTTTCCGCTGAGTGTGGGTCAGGCGTCCCCACTCCTCCTCAGAGAATTCTATGGCCACATCCCTGAAGGTCAGCTGTCCCTGCAAGAAGTACCACAGTCACCAAGTGGCCACTGACACAGTTCACGATGTTTCCTAAGATGAAAGTGGGAGTTAATGTCACCAGCTAGAACCAGATCCAACCTTTCCTTCTTCTGACATGGGTGTGGGAAAAAAGAAAAACCTATGGGGCAGGGGGCTGCCTGGTTGAGAACTTTCACTCCTTTCACTCCCAGAGGTCAAGTCTATTGATTACGCAGCGGTGACAGCCCTCCTGTCACAAAGTGTTGGGATGTGGGAGAGGAGCCAATGGTCAAGAAATTCTAGACATGTTTCTGATGTGAAATATTGGGGTTCTGGAGAGAATGATGAAGGCATTGTTGAGATACCGTGGTACAAACACTGTGGTACTAAATAAAGCAAGGGAAGAGGAAAGTTGTGAGCAGTGACTGCTTCTATACTGTCAGATGGGGAGGGTGTGAGGGATAGCAGGAGGCTCTAAGGAATTTGGAAGCAAGTTTCCAGGACCCTCAAGGCCTCCCAGCTGGTGTTTTGATGAGGCCACACACTGTGTAGTAACACTTTAGTCAGGAGACCCTCCAGATATCTGTCAGGGGCCACAAGCTTGAAGGAGGGTGGCCAAACTACATTTGGGGGTAGAGTTCAAGAAGTTTCCAAAGCAAGTTTCATCTGTTAAAGACGAATTACAGGATCCTGGAGGTCTATTGTTAGGCTAAGGATGCTTTTTGCATCCAACAAAACATTAACCTTGAGGCAGTTGTGAGTTCCCTGAGGAATGTCCTACTCTGCCTTTCTCAAGTATTTATCAACAGACTGGAAGTTGAAGGACATTTAATTTTATCCACACCTCTTTGGCTTTGTTCTCCTCCTCAGAAACTACAAACAAGGGGGACCCAGATAGTTCAGTGGGTTAAGGGTCTCGCTTGAGCTCAGGTCATGATCCCAGACTCCTGGGATGGAGCCCTGAGTTGAGCTCCCCACTCAGGGGAGGAATCTGCTTCTCCCTCTTTCCCTTTCCTCACTCTCATGCACGCTCTCTCTCAGCTGAGAAAACGTTTAAAAGAAGGAAAGAAGGATGGAAAAAAGGAAGGAAGGAAAGAGAAAACAAACGTACAAGCAAGAGAAATGCAGAAGAAAGAAGTTTATACCTGAAATGCAACAGTTCCTACATATTCCTCACTATCCTATGTTCCTCACAAATGACAGGAGGAAAAATAGAAACATGACAGGGGAGGATCTGGCAGACAGCACCAAGCCAATAAAAGAAGTTCCCATCAGCTGAATGGAAACAAATCGCTTTCAGTGCCTAATGCACATCAAAGGACACACCATCACTGGTGTTTTCCTGTGGACTGAAAGCAGGAATTCAGAATGCAAATCTAATTATGCAAATATAGTGGATATACATACACAAATCAAACACTATTCCTTCTGTAGAGACTGCTTTTAGGCAAGCAGACTTGAGCAAAGGAGTGGAGGAAGGGTCCCAGTGTCCCCTTGGCTGAGTCCAGACAGGGCCATCAGGGGATGCACCTCAAAATTACTAAGACCCTAAGGAACCAATGGCCTTCTGACAACCAGGTACGTGAGCAGAAAGGAGCAAGTTCCTGGTTCCCCAGAATTCCTCACCTTCTTTCCCTCCTTAATACCGCCCCACTCTATTGCAGACAAGCTCTCCTGGCCCTCCTGCCTGCTGATCTCTTAGGTCTTCAGTAAACTTCCTCCACCTTTATCCTGCCTCAGAGGAATTCAGGCAGCGCTGCGGGATGGGCTTCCAGCTAATCATGGGCCCACATCTGGGGCCCCAAGCGACTGACAGGGACAATACACTGAGATAGCACAGTGTCCCTGTGCTATTAATACCACTTTATGCCTTTCTTTTCTTTTAATTTTTAAGATTTATTTTTATTTTCATCTTCTTTAAGATTCTATTTATAGAGGCACCTGGGTGGCTCAGTCAGTGGACCTCAGCCTTCTGCTCAGGCCAAGACGCAAGGTCCTGGGAACACCTCTTACATTGCTGGGGGTGGGAGGGTGTCCTTGCTCAGTGGGGAGCCTTCTCCCTCTGCCCATAGTACACCCTATTTGTGCTCTCATTCTTTTTCTTACAGATAAATAAAATTTTTTACAACAATTGTATTTATTTCAAAGAGAGCAAGTGAGAGAGCACAAGCAGGCAGAACAGGAGAGGACGAGGGAGAAGCAGGATCCCTGCCCACCTGGGAGCCCGATGTGGGGCTGGATCTCAGGTCCCCGGGATCACGACCTGAGATGGAGGCAGAAAACAGACTCTTAACCAACTGAACCACCCTCAGTCCCCAAGATTGATTTATACTTTAGAGGAGATCGAGACCGTCAGGAGAGGGAAAAAGAGAATGTCAAGCGGTCTCCCCTCTGGGCACAGAGCCAGAAGCAAGGATACCACTCCAGGACCATGAGATCCCAACCTGAGCTCCACCAACAGTCCAAGCTTAGTCAACGAAGACCCCCAGGCACCCTCCTCTAGTGGACTTTAAGTAGAATATCTCTTTCACGTTCTAAAGATGAAGACACACACACCCCCTTTCTTAGAATGAGAAGTTTCCAAGTTTTCCTGGAATCATACCCACGGAGCTTCTGTCCACATTCCCTTATTTCCCGGCTGCACATAGCTGATCGAGAATCCAGAGAGCCGAATGAGAAATGATTTCCCTCCCTGACATCCCAGGACCAAACCTCATCAGCCACAGGAATCTCAGAAGCGACACCTTCCCCTTTGGATCTGCCACCAACGGAATATTGTCACTCCTCGTGGGACTTTAATTTAAAGTGACAACAGCTGATTCCCTATTGAAGCCAGGTTGGGGACACAGGACAGAAGACTCTGGGACATAGAGAAGCATTCTAAAGACCTAACTGTGAGTATCACTTCTGACCAGATCTTAAAAACAGTGAATGCAGAAGGGAGAAGCACCCGGACTCGAGTCATCCACGTCTGCAGCTCCTAAACTCAAGGGTCTGCGAGGAAACAGAGGACACGGCTCCAAGGGGACCCAGGCTCACCTGACAACTGGCCATTTCTGCCTTCGCCTCCACCTCTAGATTTCGTCCTCACGAGGGATCTAGGGGGAAATCACAGCTGCATCATGAGAAAATGCCCAGAAATCCAACAACAGACCTCCTTCTCCTCACACCGCTCACCTGCGGGCAGGACTCGGAGATGCAGAAAAGGCCCAACTTCCCAGTCCTTTGTGTCCTGAGCAGCTCAGAAACTGTGAGCTCCCGTGAGGACACCCATCCCTGCATTTTCCTCACCTGCTTTGTTGGGAGGGAGGGATTCCCTCCCACCGCCACTCACAACTTCAGCGTCAGCATCGGAGCTGAGGGCTGCAGGGACGCGACCCTCCCAGACTCACGGAGCAGAGACCCTGTCACCTCTCCAGGACCATAGCCGCAAATCCACTCTCAGAAAACCACCGAAAGCACTCTGGCTCCCCCTGGCCTCGCTGAGAATCTCCTGGAGCCCTTAGTTTAACATAACAGTGTTGTTTTCGGTCAAACCAACTGACAGAATCTGAGGGGGAGGCCCGCAGAGAAGATCCTTCCTGAAACTCCACAGGTGACTCTGCTGGGAAGGAACTGGGGAGGTGACCTGGCCAAGCAGGGGAACCAAGGCTGGGGCTGGGAGCAGAGTTCGAGCCCTGCCTTCTCCACCATCAGAGTTTCTGGAGACTGACACCTTCTCTCTCTTTCTGCTACACAGAGGGAGACCCCTGACAGACCAAACTTTCCCGTATGAATGCAAATGTCTCTTTCAAAGTAAACACAGGATTTCAGAGCTCTTCCTTTATCTGCTTTTGATTAAAAATAACCAGCCAAAAATAATGCTCAGGACAAGAGACATATTTTCGGGTGACAAAATATTTCCCCTCAGTAGAGTAAGTGTTTCTGTTCATAAGGACCTGCCACACAGTCTTCCACACTGCATGTTCTTTTTACCCTCCCATCAGCGATATGAGAATTCTAATTCTCAGCATTCTCAGGAAAATTGCGTGTTGTCCTTTTTCTTTCTTTTAGCCATTCCAGAAAACAGTGAGTGTTTTCACACTGTAAAGTTTGCAGTCTTCGTACACCAGCTATCTTGGTGACTGAAATGAAAACCACTTGGAAGGCATCAGGGTGAACCAAGATAAAAGCAATTAATGCTTCATTGAGACTCCTTTTCCAAATAAGTAACCTTTCTCTTCTCCACAGACCTCTTCTCCTCACTTCTCAGCCCTTTCTTCCAGGAACCTGGTTCTTAGAATATAATTGAGGTTCGGTGTGGTGAGGTCTGGAGGCGATGACCAAGAAAGAATTCCTCAGACTTCTTTGGTGCAAAATGGTGGTTTATTGAGGCACAGGGATAGGACCCCGGGCAGAAAGAGCTGCTGCCCCGGGGGCTGTGAGGAGTGGTTCATTATATACTTGCCAGTTGGAAGGGGGTCAGGGATGGTGTAAATCTCTAAGGAGTTTTGGAGGCAATGTTTCCAGGACCTTGAGGAGCTAGGTATTATTGGGGAAAAGGTTACTCATTATTGGTAATAAAACATTTGTTGTGAGATCCTTTAGATGTCTATCAGTGGGCCCTATGCTTGGGAATGATTGTCAACACGTATCTTGGAGCGTTTAGAGATAAAGTTTACAAGGAATAGTTACAGTAGACTTCCAGGATCCTGGTTGGGGGTAGGGGTCTGTCAAGCTAGGATTGCCCTTTGCCCTTAGCCAAGCCTGAAGGTGGAGTTTGTTGAGTCCCTAGAGGAGAGTCACTCTGCCTGTATCAAGGGCTTGTCAGTGGGTAAGGAAATTGAGTAATTTTTCTTCTGCCTCTGCTTCCCACATCAGTGAGACTCCATTTCCAAATAAGTAACCTTTCTCTTCTCCACAAACCTCTTCTCACTTCTCAGCCCTTTGTTTCAGGAACCTGGTTCCACCCTGACAAGATAATGAACAGGGCTGTCAGCACAGACACAATTCCTCTGGAAATTGGACATAATCCCATATTTCCCTACAAACCCCAGCCCTTTCCCCAGGTGGGCTCTGGGTTTGAAGGCCCCGACCTGCTGAGGCCTCCTTGGCTGGCAAAGCAATGAAGCTCCCACTGCCCTTGATCCCCAGCTCTGTCTGCACATTCTGTTCCGGGTCTGAAGCCTGGAGATCAGTTCACACAACAGGATGAATGTGAGGAGAGGAAAGTTTGTTTTTCCTGCGCTGTTCTCAATTCTTCGGCTGGTGTAAGACTTAAAATAATGTAAGACATTTTCAGTACAGAAAACAATGAAGTTCTTAATTATGGGAATGAGAAAGACATGAGTCTCAAGGACAGGTGATTGAAGCTTCTGTGTCGTGGTGACTTAAGAAGGAGGAGGTAGGATTTCAAATTTCCAAAGAGGGGATTATATTCAGAGGAGAAAGGAAAGATGAAATATTTATCAAACAATGGTTTGTCCTCCAGGTAGGCAACTCTTCCTCTTCCTCTTCCCCTTCCCCTTCTTCTTCTTCTTCTTCTTCTTGCAATTATATTTTTTTCCCCAATGTTCCAACATTGTTTATGCACCACACCCAGTGCTCCATGCAATACATGCCCTCCTTAATACCCACCACCAGGCTCACCCAACCCCCCACCTCCATCCCCTCCATAACCCTCAGTTTCTTTCTCAAAGTTAACAGTCTCTCATGCTTCATCTCCCCCTCTGATTTCACCCAACTCACTTCTCCTCTCCTTCTCCTAATGTCCTCCATGTTATTCCTTATGCTCCACAAGTAAGTGAAACCGTATGATAATTGACTCTCTCTGCTTGACTTATTTCACTCAGCATAATCTCCTCCAGTCCCATCCATGTTGATACAAAAGTTGGGTATTCATCCTTTCTGATGGAGGCATAATACTCCATTGTATATATGGACCAGAGCTTCTTTATCCATTTAGGTGTTGAAGGTCATCTTGGCTTTTTGCACATTTGGTGACCGTTGTCATGGTTGCTATGAACATTGTGGTACAGATGGCCCTTCTCTTTATTACATCTGTATCTTTGGGGTAAATACCCAGGAATGCAGTTGCAGGGTCATAGGGTAGCTCTATTTTTAATTTCTCAGGGAATCTCCACACTGTTTTTCAATGTGGCTGCACCAACATGCATTCCCAGCAACAGTGTAAGAGGGTTCCCCTTTCTCCACATCCTCTCCAACACTTCTTTCCTGTCTTGTAATTTTGGCCATTCTAACTGGTGTAAGGTGGTATCTCAGTGTGGTTTTGATTTGATTCTCCCTGGTGGCTAATGATGTTGGACATTTTTTCATGTGTCTGTTATAGGTAGGCAACTGTTTGGGATATAAACTGTTAATCTCTGGTATCCATGTAGGAAAGAACATTATAGTTTGATACCCATGGCAAGGAAAGAATTCTTGAGATGTCTATGGTGCAAAAGGTGATTTTTTGAAAGCATGGGGACAGGACCCAGGGGCAGAAAGACTGCACTCTGTCATGAGGCATGGCCCATTATATACTTTCAAGTTGGAGGGGGTTTGGGATAGCACAAGTATCTAAGGAATTTTGGAAGCAAGGTATCCCAGACCTTGAGGGGGCTATTGGCTCTTGGGAAAAGGTCATTTATTACCAACCAATAATCCTTAGTCATGGGACCCTTCGGATGTTTATCCCTGGGCCATCTGCTTGGAGGATGTTTACCAATAGGTAGCTAGGGGGTTTGAGAGAAAAGGGAAGTTTCCAAAGGAAATATTTTATGTTACAGTAGACTTACAGGATCCTGGTGGGGGTTGGAGAGCTGAGGCCAGGATTGTCTTTTCCCATTAGCAATCTATTAACATCATAGCAGTTGAATCCTTGGAGGAATGTCACTCTACCTGTTTCAAGGATATGTCAATGACCTGTAGGCATAGGATATTAGTACTTTTTCTTCTGCCTTTGTTTTCCACATCATGATCAGCTTTCTTCCTAATAAAGGTCCTCCATCTAATTGATTCTTGAATACACACACACACACATAACTCGGCATCATAGCAGAAAGCAATAATGCCATTTGTATCACAGGAGAAACCCTGAAGAAAGGTTTCTAAATTTTTAAAGATTTTATTTACTTATTTGACAGACAGAGATCACAAGTAAGCAGAGAGGCAGGCAGGGAGAGGAAGGGAATCAGGCTCCCCACTGGGCAGAGGGCCTGATGCAGAGCTGGATCCCAGATCCCTGGGATCATGACCTGAGCCAAAGGCAGAGGCTTAACCCACTGAGCCACTCAGGTGCCCCTCAAAATAAGATTTAAACAAAACATATTTGAGTATGGTTGATCCATCAGTAAGATATTTGGTAGTAAAATCATGCCAAATACAACATTTGAAATTGTATCTCAGCAAGAATGTTTAGCAAACAGTATGATCAGCAGTCAACACTGAGAGCATTTTCATGAAAGTGAGGCTGAGAGTAGGGGCCCAGTCTGGGCTCTCCCCGTTCACCACATACAGGGTGCCTGAGCAGGGGCACAGAGAAACAGGTAAAGGCGGAAACAAGACAAGGGCAGTAGGAGGCTAGAACTGTTATTATTCATGGATGACGTGATTACATACCTGAAACAGCAGAGATTGTATTTTGAGGTCAGACTAACAAGAGAATTGAGAATGTCGGAGAGGGAGACCTTCCCCTGACCTGTGGTCCTTCTCACTGGCCTTAGAATCAAATTGACATGAGACAGGCGTACGTCCGTGGAACCCAGACAGATATGCAAGTCCAAAGACAACAAGGCACCACGGAGCTACTTGAGCTAAGGAGAGGAACAGGGAAGAAGACTCCTTGGCAAGGTGAAAAAAGAAGCTGGGAAAAACAAGATTGTTCCATCAGGCAGATGAGGGGCCTTGGTTAACCCTTGTCTTCCTACTGCAGGCTCACCTTTCCGATGTGTATTAGGCAGTTACGTGGGAAGCAGAGGGCCTTTCCTGCATCTGCTGGGTTTTTATTACTTTTAGCTCAAAACAACCTTTATGTGCCACTTTTTGGAGCAGCCTGCTTTGTGTCCCTACAAGAACGCAGAGCAAACCCTTAACACAGTGACTGCTTTACTAGCAGTAATT